TCTGGGAACTTACAAGTGGAAATTCGGGGGCCCCAACCTAGACCTGCTAACTCAGAAACTCTGGGTCTGGGGCCCAGCGATATGAGCTTTAACCAGATTTCAAGGTGATTCTTGTGTGCACTACAATTTCAGGTCCACTGCCTCCTTCTCATCAAATATGTCTTTTTTTTTCTTAGTTGATTTTTTAGAGAGAGAGGAAGGGGGAAGAGGGAGAGAAACATTGATGTGAAAAATGATCAGTTGCTTCTTGTACGCGCTCTGACCGGGAACCGAACCCAAAACCTTTTATTGTATGGGATGACTCGCCAACAAACTGAGCCACCCAGCCAGGGCCCACCAAATATGTTTTGAGTGTGTGTTTTCTGGCTCAAACGTATTCATTGTCTTGGTCTGACTCGCGGTTGAGCAGCTTAGCATGGACGAAACCCAGGCCCGGGGGTCATCTCTGCTCTGAGGTTAACCCTCAGTCCTGCCCGTGGTTCAGCCTCATGTACAAAGGTTCAGGCAAGCTCCATGGCTATGTCTCAAGAAGCACTAAGCCACGCTTCTACCATCTTGAACAACATCATGAAAAGTTTGTCTGCAGTTGCCCATTTTTGAGAATCCATGGAAACCAAACACGTATTCCTTACAAGTCCGAGGCTAGGAAAATGTTTTATAAACTGTGAAGTGTTGAGAGACCATTGAAAAAAGAAAAATCTGCTACCTCAGCGCTCATTGCTTTTGACCGCGCTGAGCTGGGACTGCGGGTTTTCTCTCTGCTTCCCGCACGCTGACCGATTCCCCGTTTTATTTCCAGGTTATGCCCTGTTCCTCCCCTGTTTCAGACGCTCTCCTGGGAGCCTCTGGCCGGGAGCCATTGGGTTCATTTGGTTTTCAGAATGTGCTTGTTTGCTTATTTGGAGAGTTCAATGCAGTGTCTTAGCCCTTTTGTGACCGAGAGAGTGACTTACGCAGGCTGCGATTTTTATAACTTGCAGCCAACCCTTGACTCACGTTGATGTGCCAGATGAGCTCGGTGGTGAGTCTTTCCGCCAGACGGGGCACCGTGGCCTTGCCTTCCTCCAGGAGGACTCTGAAACAAGACAACAGCGCACGTGAGTTCGGGAAGGGCCACGCGGTCCTCTTCCCAGTCCTGGGCTTTGTGGGTGGGTGGCTGAGCTCACTCAGCTCCTGGGGGACGCCTGGCGTCAGAGAAGCCTGGGAGCGGGTGAGAAAGACAAGTGCGCATTATGGGAGGAGCCCAACTGAGGCAAGCGCGGTGCTAGGAAGGTTACATTCCCCTTCTCTTTTTATCGTCCCAACAAACCGATGAAGTAGGCGATCTTTTTATCCACAGGAAAACAAAACCAACCTAACTTCGTAGCAGTGTAGTGACTTGCCCAGACTCGTATTTTATTTTTTGTAACCAATATTCATCCCCGAGTAGCCAAATCAATCTTGAGAAAAAAGAATAAAGTGGGAGGTACCAGCCCCAGCTGGTTTGGCACAGTGGACAGAGCGTCGGCCTGCGGAATCAAGGGTCCCAGGTTCCATTCTGGTCAAGGACACATGCCCGGGTTGAGGGCTCGATCCCCAATAGGGGGCATGCAGGAGGCAGCCGATAAATGAGTCTCTCTCATGATTGATGTTTCTATCTCTCTTCCCGTCCCCCTTCTTCTCTGAAATCAATACAAATATATTAAAAATAAAAAGTGGGAGGCACCACATTTTCTGATTTCAAAATATATTACAAAGCTACAGTTTATTATTACGAAAGAGTACAGTGCTAGCACAAAGACAGACATGTACAGACTAGAGCACCCAGAAATAAATCTGTGCATATACGGTCAACTCAATTTTAATACCGGTGCCAAGATGCACAATGCGGAAAGGATAGTCTCTTCAACAAAGGATGTCGGGAACACTCTATGTCTGCATGCAGAAAAATGAAGTTGGATCCTTATCTCATACCATACACAAAAGTCAACCAAAAATTTATTGAAGGCTTAAACGTAAGACATGAACTATAAAGCTCCTAGAAAACAAACAAACAAACAAACAAACACAGGGGAGCCCAGCCAGCATGGCTCGGTGGTTAAGCACCCATCTATGAACCAGGAGGTCATGGTTCGATTCCTGGTCAGGGTACATGCCCGGGTTGTGGGCTCGATCCCCAGTGGGTGGCGCAGGAGGCAGCTGATCAATGAATCTCTCACATTATTGATGTTTCTATCTTTCTCTCTTCCTCTCTCTTCTTCTCTGAAATCAATAAAAATATATTTTTAAAAAGAAAAGGAAAAAAAAAAACACAGGGGAAAATGATTTCCCCAAAAGCAGAGAGAAGAGAAGCAAAAATAGACTAAGGTGGGACTACATCAAACTGAAAAGCTTCTACAGAGCAAAGAAACAATCAACAGAGAACCTACAAAATGGGAGAAAATCTTTGCAAACAATATATCTGATAAGGGGTTAATTTTTTAAAAAACATAAGTAACTCCTACAATCAATAGCACCCCCCCTCCTCCTGCAAACACACAAAAACCTAGTAACCCAAGTGGAAAATGGGCTAAAGAGTTGGATAGCGATTTCTTCAAAGAAGACATGCAAATGGTCAACAGGTACGTGGAAAAGATGCTCAACATCACGAATCATCAGGAAAATGCAAATCAAAACCACAATGGGATCTCAATCTGTTAGGATGCATATTGTATATATAAAAAAACAAAAAACAAAAAAACCCAAGGCAGGTGGCGGCTAGGATGTGGCACAATTGAAACCCTTGTACAATGTTGGTGTGAATGCAAAATGGTGCAGCCACTAAGAAAAGTAGTATGGAAGCTTCTCGAGAAATTAAAAATAGAACCACCATGTGATCCAGCTCTCCCACTTATACATATCTACCCAAAAGCATTAAAATCAACATCTCAAAGAGATAGTAGCCTTCCTCTGCTCACAGCAGCACCAGTCACTCTCATCATTGATGTTTCTAGCTCTCTTTCCCTCTCCCTTCCTCTCTGAAATCAATTACAAATATATTAAAAATAAAAAGTGGGCCCTGACCAGTTTGGCTCAGTGGATGGAGCATCGGGCTGTGGACTGAAAGGTCCCAGGTTCGATTCTGGTCAAGGGCATGTACCTTGGTTGCGGGCACATCCCCAGTGGGAGGTGTGCAGGAGGCAGCTGATCGATGTTTCTCTCTCATTGATGTTTCTGACTCTCTGTCCCTCTCCCTTCCTCTCTGAAAAAAATCAATAAAATATATATTAAAAAAATAATAAAAATAAAAATAAAAAGTGGGAGGCACCACACTTCCTGATTTCAAAATATATTACAAAGCTACAGTTTATTATTACAAAAGAATAGACTGCTAGCACATGGACAGACATGGACAGAATAGAGCACAGGATGTGGTAATAAAGACAGATATGTACAGAATATAGCCAGGATGTGGGAATAAACGACATGTCCATGGCAGATGAGTGGGTGGAGAAAATATGGTAAGTACATGCTGTCAGACGTTCAGAAAAAAACAGAAGTGCAACCAGCGGCTCACCGAGTAGTAACCGGTAAGAGCGTATTGTGCACACAGCAGCAAGGCAGCTTGCCACCCAGGAGCACTCGGACCCAAACATGGAGTGAGGCTCAGGGACACGTCGCCGAGCAGCGTGGAGTGAGAAAGCAGTGGCAGCTCCTTCTGCGTGGCGATTGGTTCTAATATTAGAGTATCCTTAAAGCTGAGGAAATTGGCTAGTGGTTACCTCATGTCAATTTGGGGGAACAACTTAAGTTTCGTTTATGATTTTCAGAAGCAAGAAGAGCATGCCTGTGGGCACTGGCTTGTCTTGTAAACTAAGCTGAGTTAAGCATTGCCTGTGTGACTGATCCGCTTCTGTCTGCTCAGGGGATTTCCACGTCTGGCCCCTGTTTGCGTTTGTTTTAACAATGCAATGGGATCTGAGTCAGCCTTTAAAAAGGAGACTATTCTGTCATCTGTGACCACAAGAATGAACCTTGAGGACGTTATGCTGAGGTGACAGAAGCCAGTCACAGAAGGACAAACACTGCCTGATTCCACCTACGAAAGAAATGGCAAATAGCCAAACTCACACCACCCAAGAGTGGAATGGTGGGCGCCAGGGTTGGGGGAGGGGGAACTGGGGAGCTGATAAAGGACATCACATTTCAGGGATGCAGGTGAGTGAGTGCCAGAGACCGCAGAACAACCTGGGGCCCACAGTTGACCTCACTTTCCCCAAACCCGTGAGCAGTGGTTTGCTAAGTGTAACCCCTGGACCAGCACTATCAGCCTCAACTGGAAACTTGATAGAAACACAAATTCTTGGGTGCCACCCCAGACTCCGAAACCCTGGAGCAGGACACAACCAGGAGGCTTTGCGGCTCAGGACTGAGAACCGTGGGCGCGATTATCACAGAATCTTCTTCCCACTTAGCGAGCAGTTCCCTCTCCCTGCGGGCCCCCAACGCGATCGAAAACGGTCTGTTTCTGGCGTGGCTCAGTGGTTGAGCCTCAACCTATAAACCAGGAGTTTATGGTTCAATTCCAAGTCAGGGCACATGCCTGGGTTAGGGGCTTAATCCCCAATGTGGGGTGAGCAGGGGGCAGCCGATCAATGAATCTCTCTTATCATTGACTAGAGGCCTGGTGAACAAAAATTTGTGCACTCGGGGGGTCCCTCAGCTCGGCCTGTGCCCTCTCGCAGTCTGGGACCCCTCGGGGGATATCCACCTGCTGACTTAGGCCTGCTCCTCAGGGGATTTGGCCTAAGCTGGCAGTCAGACATCCCTCTGGCAGCCTGGGAGCCCTTGGGGGATGTCCACTTGCCAGGGGGGGAGCAGGCGTAAACTGCAGTTGGACATCCTTAGCACTGCTGAGGAGGCAGGAGAGGTTCCCGCCACCACCGCTGTGCTGGCAGCCATCAGCCTGGCTTGTGGCTGAGCAGAGCTCTCCCTGTGGGAGCACAATGATCACCAGGGGCAGCTCCTGCATTCAGCATCTGCCCCCTGGTGGTCAGTGTGTGTCATAGTGACCAGTCATTCCCAGTCATTCTGCTGTTGGGGTCCATTTGCACATTACCCTTTTATTATATAGGATGTTTCTATCTCTCTCTCCCTCTCCCTTCCTCTCTGAAATCAATAAAAATATATTTAAAGCAACAACAACAAAAACAAACAAACAACAACAATAACAAAAATGGTCTATTTCTCTCTCCAAGGTGGGGCAGATGGGAAGAAAGAAGGAGCCGCGTGGTGTTCATGGAGTGCTGGCTCTCAGCACACCAGGACCTTAGCGTGGGTCCTATCATTTAACCCAAAACGCAATCCTGTGGAGCACTCCCCGAGCTGAGGAGAAAGGACGAGCCACTGCCCAAGGGCACATAGCGAGTAGCAGACCTGGTCTGTGCCCACATCTCTCCTTCAAGCAGGAGTGGCCCCTGGGGGAGTGGCTCACTGTGCTGCTCCCCCACCGCTCAGGACCATCAAGATCCTGCAGAGCATGAAAGGGCAAAGGGCCTAGTTCAGTGGGAAAAGCCCCAGCACCATGCGGGATAATTTATATTTAATAAAACTGTTAGTGTCGCCGAAGGAGGAAGGCACGAGGCCAAAAGAGGTGAAGAATTAGGAATTGATTAGGTCATCTGGAAAACCATATGGGCTGAGCCCCAAAATGGCACCAGCCCCAGGGTCGGGGAGTCAGAGGTTTAAAGGACTGTGGCGGGCCTTTTCTGGGCAGAGAACCCTCTGGGTGGTCTGGATCCTGGGAAGGTCCAGAGGAGAGAGATAATGGTCTTAGCAAGTGGAATGTGGTCTAAGCGAAAAGGACTGTCCACTGTGCAGTGGCCTAAAGATCCATTCCCGGGGGAGGAGGTATCCATTCAATTATGTGATCAGACCTAACAAAAACCCTTTCCTTTGCAGGCTCTAACGCAGTGGAGAGAGCCCTAAAGCGGGTTTTAACGTGCACCATTTACAATGGTCAACATCAGTTTCTGGAGGCTCGGAGATCTGTTTCCGGTCCTGTCCCCTCCATTATTGCTTTGACCTCATCATCCTGGTCTACAGAAGTGGGAAGAACCTCCCTTGCCATGTGCATCTCCTAAGATTTGATGGGATGCTAATGAGAAGGCGGGTGAAAACATGTTGGAAAACCCAAGTGCCCTACGCCCTGTGGAACACCAAACTACAACCTTTACTCAGCACCATCATTAGAGCCCATGAAAAAATGATTTGTTTCAATAAGCCAACGAATTTCACACTAAAAATAAAGTCAAGGAGAGGTTCCGCTACACTCTATAATTTTTATATGCAATTTGGTTATCACGTTGGCCAGTCGTGGTGGGGGTGGGGGGCGGCTCCCGTGGAGTCCAGCTCCAGGGTCCTGCAGGCGCTCACCTGAAATACGGGTGCGTCTGGAAGAACATCATTTCTTTCTTGGTGGCCTCCGCCAGGCTCAGCCTGTCGGTGATCTCCTGCTGGCCCCGGCACTTGACTATCATGTAGCCCTTCTTGAGGCGGTACGTGAGGTTCTGCGCCACGTTCACCACATTTTTTTCGGCGCCCTTGTCCACCAGGTCCGGTTTGGTCAGGATCCCTGCGAGATGATAAGAAGGGCATGGAAAGGTCAGTTCTCTCCTCAAATACACTTGACCCCTGTGGGGCTATGGGATCCTTTCTCGGCGAGGACCGACAGAGCCTTCTGCAGCCTTGATTACCCAGTGCCTGCCAGTCATTCATTCATTTCATCGTCACCCCTCAGATTTGCTCCCCCACTCACTCAATTCACCAACTGCCTCGCGTAATTGACTTAACAAACGTTCGCTGGGTGCCTGCTGGGTGCCAGCACTGGGCAGCAGCATCACAGGTGGCCGGCTCCATCACCATGTTCCTAAGAAGCTGCCCTGGTGCTTAAGCAGCTTCATTTCTTTCTCTGTTCCATTACCAGAAGGTGTTATTTAGACTCACTACAAGGTTTGTGTGAGCACAGACCTTCAGGCGACTAACAGAGCCAAGCCTTGTCTGAATCTGCATTTGCACCTTCCATTGGTAAAGGAGAGGGCCTTCCCCTGGGAGCGGAGATAGCAGCCGGGAATGCCCTTCCCCGGAATCAGAACTCATTCATAGAAGCCTGGGTCAGTGTACTCTAGTCTGAGAAAAGGGAGTAAGATCATGAAAATGGAAGCTTGCAATTAGAACCCCCCTGGCCGGGGAGACAGGGCCTTCTACTGGGCCTCAGTTTGGAACACATGCCTCCAGCTACAGAATCAGCTCATAAGCATCACTTAATGACCCCACTGTTGGGCCACAAGGAAGGGCAATCTCAGCAATGTTTAGATGCTTGAATTTTTTCGCTTTTTAAGTGTGTTTATTCCTGAATGCGTTATGCATACATATCAAGTTAACGAATGCTTATTAAGCACACTGCTGTGGGTACTGAGGAATGAGCAAGACTGCATAGTTCCTGATTTCACGAATATCCCTCCACCTTCCAGTGGGAAAAAGCCAGATAAATTATCCTAGTAATATATAAGAAATAAACAAAAATACCTAATATTGATAAACACCATGAAGAGAATGAAAAGAAAGGCAAAGAAATGACTACAGGCTGGGTGGCTGGACAACGAGGGCCTCTGAGCAGGCAATGTTTGGGCTGTGACCTGAATGAGAGGAAGGAGCCAGCCCTGTGGGTGGAGAGGGAGCTGGCTGACTGAGCTGCACTGGACAGTAGTGGACGAGGTGGGGAGTGATGGGAGCCGTGGTCCCAGGGGCATGCAGAAGCCAGGTCCCAGATGGCGCTGCTGTCCAGGCAAAGCGGTCTGGGTTTGACTATGTGAGACCGAAGCATTGGAGAGTAAAAGCAGAGGAGGGCATGGCCTGCTTTACAGGCCTAAGGCCAGGGGAGGGTGGACTGTTGTGGGCAAGGTGAATGCCAGGAGACCTGAGCATGTCTGCGTAGCCCAGGCAGGCGACGATGGAGGCTGGGTCTAGGTAGTGACTGTGGGGATGGAGAGGGGCGGACAGATTTGGTATTAGCTCTGGAAGCAGGGTCGCTGGGACTTCAGATGAATTAGACACAGAAGCAAGAAGGAGGAGGAATCAAGAGTGACTCTGATTTGGCTTTAGACCCAGGCGGGTGGATGTGGGGCCGTGAAGGGGTGGGGAAGCCTTGGGGAGGAGGAGAATTGGGTTGGGGGAGGGTGGTACCAAGATTAGTGCTTTGGTCACAGTACCTCGGAGACACTTAATGGACATCCAAGTGGAGACATCAAGTCTAGGGAAAGGTAAGTTACAGATAGAGATTTGGGAGTCACTGGCATGTAGAACGAATTCAAAAGCATGGATGGATAAGGTCACTTCAAGAGAGTGTGTTGACAGAGGGGGAGCTCAGAACCAAGTTCTGGTTTCCGATAGTTAGAGGTCAGAGAAATGAAGAAGCAGCCAGCCAAGGTGACTAGGAATGTGACTTGCAGGTGGCCAGCGAAGGAGAGGAGAAGCCAGGGAGGAACTGTGCACGTGATAATTCTTCATGTAACCCTCCCAACAACCCTCGCAGGTGGTTGTGACTGTTAGCACCATTTACAGATGAGGAAGTGAGGCGAGGAGAGGTTAAATGCATTGCCCAGGGGCATGGAGCCGGTAAGTGGTAGAATGAGGATCCAAACCCAGGCAGTCTGTGCTCTTAAACCAAGTCCCTATAACGCCGTGGAGGGTGACACTGAAGAAAGGACATTAGGAGAACACAGTTTCCCACAGAGTTCTGCTTGAATTTAAATCCTGCAGATGCTGACGCTCCAACATTAGCCTGGAAGTGTGTTCACTGGGGTCTGTGACGGTCTTTTCCCAGTACCCAGGGGTCCTAGACCTGCGCTGTGTTATGGCAGAACTGATGGACTGGTCACTTTCTCCTTTCTGGGCCACTGTGGGTAAAGTAAAGCGGGTCTTGACCCCATTCAGAATGGCTCATGAATGCAATGGACGATGAGAAGGAGGGTGAAGCAGCGCATTCTGGCGGCTCATCTAACCCTGATTGTGAGTGAAGATGACCAGCAGGGATGGACCCTGAGCCCATGGAGCTTGGGCTGGAACAGCGCTTGGATCTAGCGCAGGATGTGGGCGTCTCTAACAGTGGACCTAACTCCAGGGCCTTCCACATGGGCGAGGATCTCCCCTCCCCATCTCCTGGAAGCCTGATTCTTCCTTCTTACCTATGGTCCTGTCTCCATCGGGGTCCACCTCGTGAGCCATGCTCAGCGCCTCTGTGGTGGCGATGTCCACATTACAGGGGACCACCACCAAGTTGATGGTCTGCTGCCTCTGGATGTACT